GCCCTTGGTGGCTTTGAGACACCTTGACCACTGCCTCCTCCCCTGGAGCTTTCTCTTCCCAAGAAATGACCCCTTTCTGCAGAGACTGGAGTGGCTCCCCATCACCTCACCTGAGCCTCTCCTTTGTGGACAGAATGGAAAAGGCTGCGTGAGTGTGTGGACTCCCGAAAGCCTCCATTGCTGCTGAGGATGCAAGTGAGGTTATACAGCTCTTCCCCCAAGGTGGCTGTAGCCTCTAGAAGTCCTCCCCCCTCCCCCCACAGGCAGAGCTTTGGGGGCCCTCAGGTGGGCATTTTATTGTGGGTAAAAAGGTAAAGGTGAAGGACCCCTGGACGGTTAAGTCCAGTCAAAGGTGACTTTGGCGTTGCAGCACTCATCTCGCTTTCAGGCCAAGGGAGCTGGCATATGTCCATAGACCGCTTTCCGGGTCATGTGGCCAGCATGACTAAACCGCTTCTGGCATGACGGAACACCGTGATGGAAACCAGAGTGCACGGAAACACTGTTTACCTTCCCGCCGCAGTGGTACCTATTTATCTACTTGCACTGGCATGCTTTCGAACTGTTAGGTTGGCAGGAGCTGGGACAAAGTATTGGGAGCTCACCCCATCGCAGGGATTCAAACCGCCGACCTTCTGATCAGCAAACCCAAGAGACTCAGTGGTGCAATTAGTGGTGAATTTGTTCTGCTTTACAGTATTAGGTGTTTTGTGATGTTTCCTTGAAATTACCACATTATTGCTATCTGGAGGGGCTATAGGATACCAGAAGCAGAACAAGAACAAACTTAAGCATTTGCGGTATGAAAAGTTGAGGATAGTGACAGGTTATGCGCTGACTGGATATGAAGCCTCAGAACTTTTGCACACAGAAATAATATTGTTGCACACCACCCCAATATCTGCCAAGCAGTAGCACGATTTGAGAGGTTCCAGGCTCATATTTCCATTGTGAATTCAGGGCATGGAAGTGACTGCAATGTTTTCAGATATTTGGTTTATTTTACACCTACGTATGTACACCTAAAGTCTTCCATGGAGGGGCTACAGAACATTACCGTATATCCCAAGTGTCTCTCATTGCCCCTCTCATAGCTTCAGCAAGCTTGGGTTTTAAAGCAGCAGTCAGGCATGGCTCTGATCTCTCAGTGCAGCCTCCTCCCGCCAGCACCAACATGGAGTTCTGGTCTGCCAGCAACTTTTTGGAGGTCTGCCCTTGGTTCCTGTTCTTCCCAGAACACCTTGCAGAAAAACCCAAACTCCTACAAAAAACAACGTGCATCATTTCTCTGCCACCTCATACCCTCCCCGCCACCTGTGGCAACCACAGACCTGAGCACCTTCTTTGATATATAGGACATCCACACCTGTTGTCATGCTGGCTTATCCCAAGCGCTGAGCTTGTGACCCCAAACTTTATTGCAACAATGCTTGGCATCCCCCTTTAACATTCCCAGTATTAGCTAAATTCTGATATTAATTCCTTATATTCCTAATATCCCTATACCAGAAATCTAGGATAATACTGAAAGCAGGGTTGTGTATGACCAGCACAAATCATCCTACAGGTGTAATTGAAAATGGGTGTCTGGACTCAGAGGAACTCAAAGTTGAATGATCTCACCTTGCCTCAAATATTATTATTATTATTATTATTATTATTATTATTATTATTATTATCTATATACCGCTCTATACCCAGGGTTCTCAGGGCAGTTCACAGAATAAAATCAAGATATAAAAACATAAAATACCTAATAAAAATAGAAACAATAACCCAATAAAGGTAAAGGTAAAGGTACCCCTGCCCGTGCGGGCCGGTCGTGTCTGACTCTAGGGTTGTGCGCCCATGTCACTTAAGAGGCCGGGGGCCAGCGCTGTCCGAAGACACTTCCGGGTCACGTGGCCAGCGTGACGAAGCTGCTCTGGCGAGCCAGCACCAGCGCAGCACACAGAAACGCCGTTTACCTTCCCACTAGAAAGCGGTACCTATTTATCTACTTGCACTTAGGGGTGCTTTCGAACTGCTAGGTGGGCAGGAGCTGGGACCGAAAGACAGGAGCCCACCCTGCCATGGGGATTCGAACCACTGACCATGCGATTGGCAAGCCCTAGGCGCTGAGGTTTTATCCACAGCGCCACCCGCGTCCCTAATAACCCAATACCCCCCCCCAAAAAAAAAAACATTTTAAAAGAGCATAGGATGGGATCAAGCAAAGGCCTGGTTAAAAAGGAACATTTTGGCCTGGTGCCTAAAGGTGTACAATGAAGGTGCCAGGTGAACTTCCCTGGGGAGACATGGGCCAGTCAGAAATGCCGCCACTGGGGGGTTCAAGTCCCTGCTCCACCCTGGGCTCACTGGGGTAAACTGCTGGACTCAGATCTCCTCAGCAGGGAGGCCTTTCTCTGCAAACAGATGCTTTGAATCAGAAGATGGAATGCCCTAGCCATACAGAAGAAACAGCTCTCCCCAATTCCCCACCCTATCAGCAATATAGAACTTTGGGGTGGGGTGCGCACACACACACACTCTGCATTGCCAAGCTCCAAAACAATAGCCTCAAGACGTTTTAAATGTCCAAAGTTCTTTTTTCAAACCCGTCCCCCCATAAAAGCCCTTCATTGACCTCTTAAAAACAGAATGCTTCCTACCCCAAATCAGGAAAATTGAATTGTTTTTGCCACAAAGAAATGGACTTAAATTTGATTCAGGGGTCTGCCACAGCAGACTTCTTTGAGCGCCATGGCTAAGACTCAGGTAATGAAATGCCTCTGACCATGTGCAGAGTACCTTTCACCACCTAGGTATAATGGGAAACAGCTTTCCTAATTCATAAGCATAGGTGTATGAAAGGAGAAAGGCCGAAGCGCAGAGCAAGAAGACAGGCAATCATAGAATTGGAAAGTTGGAAGTAACCCTGAGGGTCCTTGCAATGAAGGAATATGCAGCTGTCCCATATGGGAATCGAACTTGCGACCTTGGTGTTACCAGCCCCACGCTCTAAGGAAAGACCTGCCCACCTCCCATCTAGGTGGTCGGTCTGGTGCGGTGGGGTCTGCGGGAGGCAGCACTTCGGCCCTTTCAAATGCAGGCGGGGGCGGAGGAAGGCACTTATCTGATTATAAAGGCTGGGTCACCCTCTCCACTGAACAGCTGAGGGTGAATTCAAGGCCATTTAGCAGTTTTGTCCTGCGCATCGAGAGCCGTGGCAGTTGCCATCCCTCGGTAGGCTGGATGGGTTGTGGCCTTTCCCCCCCCCGCGCGCGCGCCCAAGTGCTGATATGGCAGAAAAGGTCCCGGGCAAGGAGGCTGTAGGCCAAGCTGCGCCTGTGTGCGGACCCAGGCGGGCGCTGCACCTTCAGAGCACTTATTCTTTCCCACGCTCCTTCCTCCAACCCTGAAACTCAGGGACGGAGCAGTGGGGGCGTCATTCTCCACCCAGGAACTTTCCTGGCTTCTCTCTCTCTCTCTCTCTCTCTCTCTCTCTGTCTGTCTCTCTCTGACTTTCCTTCTGTGGACGGGACGAAGGAACCTGCAAGAAGAGCAAATAAGGAGTGCAAAGCCACCTTAGAGCGTTGCTGCTAGGGCCCTGCAACGTGCCCTCGAGCTGTCTTTTCCCAGAGAAACTGACCAAAGACAGATGGTGACTCTGCAAGCTCCGGGCAAAGGGGCGGGAAGCGCTCACCGACGGAGCGGGCGGGAGGGGAGAAGCCGACCATGCCTGAGCCGAGCCAAAACTGGGCGGAGGCAGGCGGTAGAGGGTGCTGTCCAGCCGGCTTTGGTCCCACTCTGCGTCCCGGGGCGGAAAGTGCGGCGTCTGTCCAGGACCACCCCGTCGGAAGCCAGCGAGATCGCGGATCAGCGCGCCGGTACCCCGCCTTCCGCGGGGGTCTCGCGGTTTCCCAGCGACAAGGAGAGGAGGAGGAGGCTCCCCCTCACTCGGGAATTGTTGGCCAGGCCAGGCCCAGGACTCGGGAACTGCGAGATAAGCCGCCAGCAGGAGCAGGACTGTCGAACCTGGCGATTTTCGCTGTGCGCCCTTTGGAGAACAGCAGACTCTCTGGCTCGCCTCGCCTTCATCCCCACGTTCGCGAAAGTGGCTGGAAAAGCGAGCTCGCTGAGAGGACTGGAAGCTGGAGGCAGCTCCCTGGCACGGATAGGGATGGCCTGGCCACCCCACCCCCGGGCTGCGTTGCCTAATGGTTAACTTGTGCGGCGCTCTATGGAACACACGCGGTTGTCATAGACAGAAGGGAGCCAGCGGTCAGGTTAGCATGATTTCTTTCTCATTTCCCCCTCCACCTTCCGAGCTTAAAATTGTGTTCCCTCCCCTCGGCACAGTATCCACCGGTGTAGTCTAATACAGTGGTACCTCGGGTTACATACGCTTCAGGTTACATACGCTCCGGCGGCGCGGCGGCACCATTAGCTAAAGTGGTGCTTCAGGTTAAGAACAGTTTCAGGTTAAGTACGAACCTCCGGAACGAATTAAGTACTTAACCCGAGGTCCCACTGTAATTTCAGAAGTACTACAAACTATCTCAGCTGAAGTCAGGCATTGGCGGGGGGGGTGTAGGTGTGGGTGTGTCCTTTGACTGGAGGGATTCGAGGGAATAATGTTCCCCGCCGCCCCGCTCCGCCCTATCCCAGGTAGCCGACGCCTGTCCTTAAGAACTTTGCAAGCGGCTGCTCCAAACGCAAAACCCGCTTCCCCGGCTGAGAGCAGACTTCTGCCACCCGGTGCCTGCCACGCCCCCAGCGCGCTCCTCTTTACGCCCATTCCCTGAGTCCACAGAGAAGGAGCTTGCTCTTCGCCAGGTGTTCCGCTTCTTCCGACGCCAAGACGCAGACCATCCTCCGCCCGCTTTGGCTCAAGAGGAGGAGTCGGGCTGCTTCCGACAAGGATGGGCGGCGGAATGAACCTTCAGGCACCACCGTAAGAAAACCATTTAGGACAGGCGATGACTATTCGGTTGCAAAGGAAAGGCATTCTGCACATGTTCAGAGGCACGATCATCTTTATTATTTAATATGCTCTGGATGTAAGCCCTGCCCTAGGCTTTGTGTTGGGGTGAGGCGGACTAGGCGGCCTTCAGGATCCTAGGATCCTACAAACCAGGACCCCGCAGAGTTGCCCGGTCTATGCTCGTGAAGCTGAGGTCTCCCCACTGCCCAGCTGTCCCGGGAAAGAGGCGGAGCTACGCCTGTTCTGAGCTGCGCGCTCTGTTTTATTTCCCTGGACTCCGATTCCCCGAGACAGACCCAGGCAGGAAAAATGCTTACTCCCAACATAGCAGCACAGCGAAAATACAAACAGCCAATGTGCAAAGTATGGTCAACGAAATCGTTTCCTGACTATGTACATGTGTATAGGTATGCGTTATCTGTATATTTGTTTTCCTGCGTACGCACGAAAAGAGCAATAAAACATTCCATACTGTGGCTTTGGTTGAGAACCAAACGGCAAAATTTGGCAAAACAATAAAGAACAGGAAGGTGGCGGCAGGGGGCGCCGTCGAGCTGCCGGGTGGCGAGAGCAAGAGGTATCTGCGTCTCCCCTGGGTGTGTGGGGGGCAAATTTCGAGCGACGGGTCCGGGGAAAGTCAAGCAAGAACCAAAGGCAGCTCCAGGCCCTGGAACCAGCCGACGAGGTGCCCTTGGCCTGCCTGCCCTGCACTCTCCCCCACCCGCGTTTCAAACGAGGGACTCCGGGGAGAAGAACCATCACCCCCTTCTCCAGAGGGGATGCTAGTGGTGTGGGATGCGTTGATAGAGCAGCAAGTACAACATTTTCCTGTTGCCCAGAATGGACACACAGGGGGAAGTGGCTCCAGACAGGGAGGGCTTCCTGCCATATCTGCTCTGGAGCCTCCTCTCCCTGTGGGTGACCAGGTGGATGGGCGTGACCCTAGCTGTCCATGTAAAAGGGCTCGCCATGCAGCCATCTTCCCTTTTCCTCTTTTGAATCTTCACTTCTGGATCCCTACTGCTCCTGGCTCTTAGCCAGCACATGGCACATCCTTACAGAGGATGGAGACCTAACTCGGACTTAACTTTTCTCTACAAATGTAACTGTAGCCACAAGATAAAGCCTGCCTTCAGATTACTGCTGTGAACTGGACGTGAGAAAAAACCTGTTATTTTTCAAGAAGACTGTGTTGCGTTATTCTTATTTTAAGAGGGAAATAAAGGGGAAATTTACCAGGAACAAGCCAGACTGGACTGCTTAATTAAAAGACTCTAGCGAGTCATCAACTTGCTTCCAATAAGTTGCAAAGGGACTGCGCTCTGCTGTTTGCTCACTAGGGTGAGTGAGGAGGGATAATATCAAAACAATATAGCCTCTCCTACCTTCCTAAACATTCCCACAAGAGGTGACCTTCCCCCCCCCCCGCAAAAAAGCTGTCTCCATTGTCAGGGGAGCCGAGAGCACCACCTTGTGGCCTGCTTAGCAGAGAACGAGCCAATCGCAGCAAGGCAGAAAGGAACGGAGCAGAGCCTTGGCCGGCCAGATGGGAGAAGCAAGAGGACTTAGGGGGCGCCTCCTCCCCACATTCACTGCCCTGCCTTTTTGCCCCCAGGTGCGACAGTGAGAGAAAACCGAGAGCTCCTTGAAGGACGGCAGGGTCATGCACGGGGCCCAGGGTTGGTGGACGATGACCGGGCCTGGAGCCCAGCTGTGGCTGAGAGGAAGAGGCGCCCAGGAATTGCCTGCTTCGGAGCCAAGGACGCAGCAAGCACCGAGGGACCTGATCCAGCTCTGCTCCCCTAGAGCCCTGGTGAAGTTTACAGCAAGAGGCTGACGGGCACTGCCAGGTAAGTGCGCTCTACCGAAAGGAAAGCCGGAGCGTGGAGTGGGGAGGACAAGGCAGACAAGCCCAGGGTCTTGCCCCTCCGTGAGATCCAGACCTCTCCTCCGCCAGGGCCCTTCAGGAGCGCTCCTCCCAGCAGAAAGCATAGTCGCCCACCCAAGAAGAAAAAGTATGGCGCGGGGCGCGGGGCAAAGGCAGCATGCTCTCAGGAAATAAACAAGCAGTCTCCCACCCGCCATCCCCCCAAAAAGCCTATTCCCAGAAAGACCCTCCCCCCCCAATTATGCTGGGCATAGGAAACATCAGGGGGTCGTGTGAGTTTGGATGGGGATCAGGGAATAGCTGACACGCGTGAGCTTGCAAATGCCGGTTCTGGGAGGGAGTGCAGAATGTGCCGCCCTTTCGACCTCCCCCTCCCGCCCCGCTGGCAGTGAGTTGCGTTTGGCAGTAGTGGGTTGTGCTTGTGGCTTCTGTAGAAGGAAGACGATAAGTGGCAGTTTCTGCATCGGAAGGGGGAACCTCTTTTCCCCCACCCCACCCCCTTCTCTTCCTGGGGCCAATGCTCCCCTTCAGCAGCAACACACACAAACACTCCCCCTGGCGTCCGCTCAGGAAGGGAAAAGATCCCCTCCAGCGGGCAGAGTTTCTCACGGGGTGCCCCAGGTGACCTGGTGGGTGGGGGCGGGCGCCGGGCAGAGAGGATCAACAGCAGGGGCAGGAGGAACGGGTCAAGATCTTCCCTGTGGCAAGTTGGGAGGCGAGCCCTCGCTCTCACCCCACCCAAATCCTCCCTTTGCAACCCCCCCCCAACTTTTTAGCCCTGGAATTCTTCCACAGAGGAAGATCTGCTCTGCAGCGCCCTGCCCAGCTGCGTACAAGGTCTCAAAGGAGAGGCTTAAGTGGGGGAGGGAGGGACCTCGACACTTCTGACACCAGTGGAGAGTCTTTAGAGGAAGCTCATGGATGCGGGAGGGCGGGAGGGCAGAGTGCAGGAGGGGACCATCCCGGGCCTCCGGGCACCGGTCTACTTAGTGCCTTCATCGGGGTTGCCCTCGCCGTCCGTCTTGCCCTCCTCCTCCGTCTTCTGGTCGTCCGTGTTCAACCTCTGCTGCTTCTTGCGCCGCACGCACTTGACAGCCACCAGCACCAGGATGACCACGGCCAGGAACCCTCCCACCGTGGCGCCCACGATCACGGCCACCGTCGAGTCCCGCTCGGGAGGTTCTGCGGAGGAGACACAGCCGAGACTAGTGGGGGGCGGAGCTGAGGAAGGGCACGCGCAGCAGGCTTGATCCCCCGAGGGGGCTTGGAGAGAGGGGCTAGGGGGGCAGGGGTGTTCCCCGCCCAGGCTTTGCAGGAAGGTGGGCTTCTGGGGTGGGCGTGGCCTTTCTAGGACGCTGCAGCACAGCAGGTAAGAAAAGCGTGTTGTTGTGGGGTGGGTCCTAGGGGGAGAGGGAGACCCTAGACGCAGGCCTGCCGAAGGCTGACTGACCTTCGGTGATCACTATCAGGCTGATCTTGCCGTGTCCCTTCTGCCGGTCAGGGGGGTTCATGACGTAGCAGTGGTAGGTCCCTTCGTCGTCCAGCTGCACGTTGTGGAGAGTGAAGGAGACGTCGTTCTTGATGGGGTTCCCGGTGAACTCCACGCGATCCCCAAAGCGGGTCTGCTCCATAGGAACAATCTTCAACCTAAACTGTAGAAACTGGAGACGGGGGGGGCGTTAAGGAGCAGAGACTGCCGCAGTCCGCGCAGGACGCTCTGGAGAGCTGCGACAAACTGATATATCACACCAGGGGAGCTATCTTGAATTGGGGGTACCCAGGAAAGCCCCGCCCCACATAATCGATCACATGAAGGGATCCACGCACACCATTTGAATAGCAATGCCCATTAACTTTGGTTGGGGGGAGCCCTCAAGTATTTTGTTGTGGGGGCAAAGACCCCTTGGCCCCTAGGACTTGGGCTCCTATGTATCACACACCCTTTTTTAAAAAAAATAAAATAAAAACAGGCTTCAGTAGCAAAGACTATCCCTAGGACATGTGGTTGCAATAAAACGGGTGCCTCTGAGCACATGCACGAGTGCATTCCGCTTGATCGTGGCTTAAAAGGGGCAGCAGAGCTCATCTGTTACAGCAAACACAACGAACAGAGTTCTGGAACCTTAAAGACTTGCACATTTATTGTGGCAACAAGAAACTTAAGCCACAGTAGACGCTTGGCAGCTTCGCGTGGAATAAGTGCTACAACCCTCTCCCTCCACCACACACAGACATTCACAGGAACCGCATTTGGGAGACGGGTTGAAAGGACTTCCAAAGTCCAGGCTGTGCCGCTAAGTTGTTGCTGCAGCGCCCTCTCAGCTGGGCACCCAGTGCAGGCGACCCAGTTTTGCACTCCCCTCAATCTGCCTCTGCGCCACAGCATGCTTCGAGGAAGTGACCCGCCCAGCTCAGCTGCGGGCTGCAGACTCACCATCTCTTCGGTGCAGTTGTCGCATTCCTGGTATGTCCAGTTAAGGGAGAACTGCTTCTTCTCCACCCGGTAGCAGGAGTTGAAGGTGCAGGTGAGGCGAACGGAGGAACCATTCAGGGCCATGATGGTGAACGGCGCCGTGACCTCCATGCCCAGGCTGCTTGGCACTGCCGGAAGAAGAGGAGAACAGGGTAAGACAGGAGAGGCGAATCTACACCGGTCAGTTATAACTTTTAAAATGTGTTATAAAAATGTGACACCAGAGGGCGCTGCAGAGCAGCAATCAGTCCGCCATGAGAAATTGCATTGAGAGTTATATAGGGTTGTTGTTTTTTTTCTAATAGCCTTTATTTCATAGCATTTATACAGATCAGTGCAGATCCACCCTCGCTTGCTCTCCCACCCCACCCACCCATTACACACGAAGGGCAGCAACGTTGGGTCGGCAACCCCCCCCCCCTTTTTTGGAGGAAGGCGGGATCTTGACAAAGGACCCTCTGGGAGTTGGTTTGTTTGTTTGTTTCCAAAGGGGAAAGCGCTCAAGACAGTTCTATATTAAGTGATCATTTAAAACGGGATCCCAACTGTACCGGAAAAACGTAGCTGGAGAATTTCATAGAACAAGCCTGACGGGATAGCTCAGTCAGTAGAGCATAAAACTCTGCACCTCAGGGATGTGGGTTCGAGCCCCACTTTGGGCAAAAGATTCCTGCATTGCAAGGGGTTGGACTAGATGACCCTTGGGGTCCCTTCCAACTCGACAATTCTTTGATGGCCAGAGAAGTGGGACGAGCGACTCCTGGTTACAGTGTGGAACACTCCTATTCACGGCGCCAGGCAGTCAGTCCTGCCCCTTTCATCAGCACTCCATTAGGAACTTAAGAAACTGCATTTATACCGAGTCAGACCATTGGTCCATATAGGCCAGTATTGTCAACACTGACTGGCAACAACAGCTCTCCAGGATTTGAGGCAGAGGCGTCTCCTCCTGGCCCTACCTGGAGATGCCCGCGGGGGTTGCTCCTGGGACCATCTGCATGCAGCGCACATGCCCTTTCCAGACCTCCCCTCTCCCCTTGTTTTTCTCCCTCCTCCCGCCAGCATTCTGGCCCAGTTATTTGGGATTATTCTTTTTTTCTAAAGGAGTTTTTTGGGGGGAGGGGGCGTCTGAAAACTTCCCCGCCAGCCTGATGGCATAGCGCTCCCCCTCTTGCGCGCGTTGCTGGCGAGGCTTTGGCTACGGAAGGACGCGCGCTGAGCTCCTGCGTCCGCCGCTGTTCCGTCCCGGCTACGGATGGCAGAAAGCCGGCCAAGAGCCCCGCCGCTTCCGTTCTCCCTCTCTGTTTCCTCCCAGGTCCCCCTGGCTTTGAAGACAGAGCCCCCAAAGGGTCTCCCCTCACCCTCACCATCTTTATCGATCACGCGGGGATCAAGGCGAGTTTAAAGCGTGAAACTGCAGATGCTCAGAATAGTTCAGTTTCTGATCAGGGCTGCCACACTATAGTCTTTTTGTTTTGGCGTTAACAGATCAGGAACGTAGAAAGAATTGCAGAGGACGAAACGGCGGCTGGGGAGAGCGGGAGATAGATGCCTGGATTACCTGTTCCAGGACTGAACTAGCAATACCTGCCACCACGTCTGGGGTCTGACATTCCCAGGCTGCACCACTGCTCCGAACCAAAGCTCCTTCCGCGTGGCCCTAAGACCCCACCTGAGTCACTCCCGAGGGGATAATCATGGCAGCGTGCGTGCCCGACCCTCCACCCTGGGCGCATGCTCAGGAGTAGAGGGATTTCTGCTGCCCCACACGGGTATGGGTGTCATTCTTCCCAATCGCTGCTGCAGCTGGGTGGCAGCCCTGGGGCTTTAAGGAGACGCCTGAGGCAGGCAGTCCAAGGTCAGCTTGTTTCTGTCAGTCCCTTTTGCTGAGGCTGGCAAACCGGTCTTGTGGCTGTTCCGGGGAGCCCTGAGTGCTGCAGAAGCTGCAGCCTCTGCAGTGCCTTGAATGCAGCAATTGCTGAGGCAGTTCCTGGCTCGTCAGATGCTACTGCAAAACTGGAACACGTTCAACACACACCTCCCCCTCGCCGTACCCCGGGAGCCCCGAGGGGAAGACGGCGCGCCCTTAGTTCAGCTGGGATCTGCAGCAGAGATCAGGGGGCTCCTCGCCGAGCTGGCTACCCAGAGCAGCGTCTTGGCTGCGCCCCCTTCTCCCCACAAGCCCAGCCGCAGAAAGCCTGGCCTTTCTCCCCCTCATCCTTTCCAAAACGGTCACCTGCGCGCTTTTTGCAGACCCTTCGCGCTCCTGTTTGGAGAGGCAGACCGGGCTGTGTGCTCGACCAGCGGGACACAAGCCTTGTAACGGAGGGGGCCGAGTAAGAAGGGGCTGGGAGTGGGGAGTAGCGAAGGCCCAGATCCAGATCTGGCCCCGGGGTCCTAGGCGCACCCTCCTCGTCTCTTCTCTCCCACATGGAACTGGTGAGCACGGACTGCTGTAGAAAGGTCGCGCCTGGCAGCAGGGAGCCACTGGAGGCTAAGTCGGCCTTTACAGAGGCCCTTTGGAAGGTGAGAGCAGGAGGAGCCACTGCTGGGCATCGCCAGCGGTAGCCAGGAAACCCTCGAAGGCTCCCACAAGGCTTCTGAGAGAAGCCCCTATGAATGCTGGGGAGTGGGCGCCGGCGCAGTATCCTAGGGGGTGGGAGGCAGTGGTTGGCCCCTGCTGAATCAAGAGGGGGCTCTCTTCCTGCGGAGTCGCCTGGTGGCAGCTGCAAACAACCCCCCCCTCGCCACACCCCACAGTCCAAGCGAGTGAAGAACCTGTGCCTCATTTTGGGAGGACCCAAGCAGGCGTGGGAGGGAGCAACTCTGGTCCCCAGGATAGGAGGCGGAGCAGCATCTGGCAACCCCGGCACAGCTGTGTGTGAGAGAGAGTGACCACATGCACACTGCCCTCAGCCGCTGCCCCCCGAGGCCACTTTCCAAAGATCCAGGCCCGGAGCGCTTTCCTCGGCACTGATATTCTCCGTTGCTGGCGACTGATCCGGCCAAAAATTGTGTAGCTCTGGCGAAGCACAGGCTCTGGCCGGTTCTTCCAGCAAATGCACTGAGGGGCGCTGGCCAGGAAAGGGCCCTCCCCGAAGGCGCCCCCCAAAGACGCTCCCCGCCTGCCCTGGAGCCAAGGCAAAGCGGCGCCTCCTTCTCCTCCCTGGAGCGCAGCTGTCAGTGGGGCTGCGGAGCCGGGTAGGTCCGCAGCGGCCCTCGCCAGATTGCAGCAGCAGCAGCCCCCTCCCCGCTGCTCCCCTCCTTCCTCAGCTCCCCATGCCGGGACCCCAGAAGCCACTTACCCAGCGCGAGGCAGAGGATGAGGAGCGCCAGGGCGTGCGTCTTCGGGGGCCGGGGGGCTTCTCGGCTCATCCTCCGGGCCTAGCGGGGAGAGGGGGAGGGGGCCGGGCGGTGCGCTGCTTGGCTTGGCTTGGCTTGGGTGGAGGGGAGTGTCAAATGCGGGGTTTGGACTCGGAGGCATACATCATGTTCTGGAAGCTTTATGGCGAGGGCTCCAAGATGGCCGGCTGGAGGGTTTGGTGCTTCCCCTGCAGCCGCGGTTAAAAAACGGGGGGACACATCATTTCTGTGGTTGGCGAATCTCAGCAAAGGAAGTGGGAGGGCAGGAAACCCTTATGTGCCGGGAATGAGAGATGCTCCCAGCTTCCGCGGGGGCGGCGGGCTGGGGGAGAGCGGAGGATTAATCTCGACACCCCCTGCCTGCCCTCCCCGGGTTCTGGTCAGGGAAGGGTCACAGCTCAGGGGCAAAGCACCGCATTTGGACGCAGGAGGTCCCAGATCCAACCCACAGCAGCATCTCCAGGTAGGACTGAGGAAAGGCACCTGTCTAAAGACCCGGAGAGCATCTTCCCGCCAGAGCTGACTGGACCTGGACCCGGAGAAAGCAGTTGCCACTGTTGCTACGTTCTTGGGCTGCTGCTCTTTCCCAAAGAGCAGAGCCGGCGGCCGAAGTCAACTTCTCAGCCACCCGCTTCAGAGGGACGTCTTCTTGTCCTCCAGCCCAAACTATGCACGGAGTGCCTCCTGGAGCAAATGCCCATTTCAAGGGCTCCCTCCCCAAAACAAACATGCTGAGCAGGAGGAGAAGGCTGGTAGGGGACCTTCGCGCGGGGTAGGGGAAGAATTCCCTGCTCTGCAAATGATTTATTGCCTGACCCCTCAATTTGGTCCTGGGGGAGCCAAATGCATTTCATATTCCCAGCTAAAGCAACACTACCCCGCGCAAGAGAGAGAGCAGAGCAGCTCCTCCGACTGGCTATGGGACTCTTGCGCGCGCGCACACCCTTTCCTCTTTCGCAGCAACTACCCCAGCGACTGGGCAGGGAGGGCGAGAAGGGTCAAGAGTATCAATTTAGGCATCCCAGTGTGCATTAGGTAATCCAGCTGCCCTTCCCCTTCCCCCACCGCGCGCAGTCGTCCAGGAGGACAGGAAGTGGCGCGGCAGCATGCTCCAGGCGAGTAGGTGGCAGGGAATGGATGGATGCTCTCGCGCCTCTTCCACGGCAAGCAAACAAGACAGACCCCACGCCACCCTCTCTCTCCCCTCCACCAAGCGCTGTTTGCCACGGCTGCTTCCTCCCCCTCCCAGTTGGCCCTGAGCTGCCCAGTCTGCGTTGCCAGTGGGAGCTGCTGGGGACCAGTCGGGACAGGGAGCCAGCGGCGAATCAAACGCCCCGCTCCCCATACAAACACACTGCAGGCTCCGAAGGCCTCCCCAGCCACAAGTGAATGTGGGCCGGGCGAGGCTCCCCCGGAGCTGCCTTGGCTATCCTGCTCCCTTTCTTGGGCACTGGCTGAAGTGTCGGGTGCGGAGAAAGAGCTCCCTTAACTTCTCCGCTTTCTGGACGCTCCAAGCGCGCCTTGCTGCAGCTGCTGGGAAATGTCGGAGGGCGGCAACGCGAAACCAAAGAATACAGCCGGCTGCGCTTCTGCACAGGCTCTGGGTGGCGTCTCCCGGGTCCGCTCAGAAAGAGCCCGCGCAGAGAGGGCTCTGGCAGTGTTGTGGGTACGCTTTGGACTGGTCTCTCATCTGCTGGGGCTGCTTAGGGGTGAAGGAAGAGACTTGGCTACTGTGGGGAAGGGGAGCGAGGAAGGGACTGTTGAGCCGCTCCAAGCCCCAACGCAGCGCCTCGCCGGCCTATCCCAGAGCCACGTCTTTCTACTGGGGCGCTATCCATAGTCCTGATGCAAGCGGCCTCCGGTCACTCTCGCCTTCCTGATAGAAAGTAATGGTGAGCTGGGCTCATCCTGCGCGGGGAGGAGAGGGCACCGAGCCACCAACCTCATTCTGCACCTGCCTGCCTTCTTCTTGACATCTATCCCGTTTTGTCTTTTCAGGGGGGATGGAGACAAACACAGAATTAGTTGTCTTCTGTTCTGCAAACTGTTATCCTTCCAATCTTCCACCCTGGCAGTCCTAATGGGCATCAGACCCCAGTGGCTTCTGAGTCCAGATGCTTTCAGTGGCTATTAACCCCAGGTGGAGGTGTTCATACACCTACCAGAAAGAGGAGAATTTTGGGTCTATCACTCATGCTCCTTATGGACTGGGCTAGGCAAGGAGGGCTGAGGAAGCTGGAGAACGGCCTAGCTCTGTTGGCTGTGTGTACCTGACTTGTCTGAGGCCCTTCAAATCTACCCTGTTGGGCTCAGCCAAATCCGATGCACAGGGCTAGTACAGTGATACCTCAGGTTAAGTACTTAATTCGTTCCGGAGGTCCGTTCTTACCCTGAAACTGTTTTTAACCTGAAGCACCACTTTAGCTAGTGGGGCCTCCTGCTGCCGCTGCTCCGTCGGAGCACAATTTCTGTTCTCATCCTGAAGCAAAGTTCTTAACCCGAGGTACTATTTCTGGGTTAGCGGAGTCTATAACCTGAAGTGTATGTAACCTGAAGTGTATGTAACCCAAGGTACCACTGTATATAAGTCATATCTAGTAGTCACTGATAGCCCTATCCTCCATTAATTTGACAACAGTGACAGTACACTGACTTCTAGGGTGTTTTGCGCTCACAGAGGCTGCCCATCACTACCATCCTGGGCAGGTTCCAACTGGCCCCCTCTGAAGTAGATCCCGCTGCACTTCCTCCTCCTTAAATTTAAGGAGCACTTCATTAATATTTCAAGGCACTCTCCTTTACCGGGACAACCTGCACAGCCCAATTCTGCAAAGTCAGAGCAGGCTTGCAGCTGAGTCAGTCCCTTATGCTCGCGAAAGGAGTCCTTCGTCCTAAAAGGCAATTGGCAGAGGCCCGGAGTCCCAAGGGACAGAACCAGCCCCACTCCCAGAAGTTTGGCACTGTCTTCCAAAGGACAGGGAAATGTGGCTTAATGGGTTTGCTAGGTCCACCGTAGTCCCACCCTGAAAGACGCAGTATCCCTCTGCATGATAACAACTGCTGGGATGACAAGAGGGCAGAGTGCTATTTCTCCCATGTCCCGCTTGTGTGTTTCCCATTGAGGCACCCGGTTGGCCACAGGGAGAACAGATGCTTGGACCAGATGGGCCCCCATTGGCCTGATCCAGTTGTAATATTACCTGCTGAGATTACCCTTGGTGGACTAGCAAGCTTTGGCCATTTTCACTCTTAAGGCCATTTCTGTAGGGATGTGAATGGATGCTAGGAGAGGGTATAGTTATTATATGTTATCCTTCCTCACAATTGTTAAATTTCAGAGTGCATCCCTTTGCAGCTTAAAAGGGAAGCTTAGATAGGTTAGTTTTAATCTTTTTAGTTTAAGTAAAGTTTAGTTTAGTTTAGATTTAAGGTGCTGGTTTTGACCTTTAAAGCCCTTCACGGCCTAGGACCCTCGTACCTACGGGGCCGCCTCTCCCGGTATGCCCCACGGAGGACCTTAAGGTCCATAAATAGCAACACTCTAGAGGTCCCGGGCCCTAAGGAAGTTAGATTAGCCTCAACCAGGGCCAGGGCCTTTTCAACACTGGCTCCAGCCTGGTGGAACGCTCTGCCTCATGAGACCAGGGCCCTGCAGGATCTGATTTCTTTCCACAGGGCCTGTAAGACAGAGTTGTTCCACCTGGCCTTTGGCTTGGAGCCAATTTGATTCCCTCCCCCTCTTTCTTTTTCCTTTCTCCTCCTGTGATGAGGCTGCATTTTAACATTTTAATGTTTTAATGTTGCATTTTAATCTTGTTTTTAAGTTGTATTCATTCAATTTGTTTTTATTATTGCTTGTTAGCCACCCTGAGCCCGGCCTTGGCTGGGGAGGGCGGGGTATATAAATTATTATTATTATTATTATTATTATTATTATTATTATTATTATTATTATTATTTAATCCAGGGTGCTTTAAGGCAGACTGGATTCTCCTGGTATTTCATCCTTTTCTCCCCTCCAAAACAACAATCACAGAGTCTTGTAAAAGGTAAAATACCATATTTTCCCATGTATTGCCCTCATGTATTTGGGGGACTCAAAATTAAGAAAATGGGGGGAGATTGCCCCTGTGTATAAAACTAACCCCCCTTTAAACATTTTTTTTTGGGGGGGGAATACAACCTAGTCTTATACATGGAAAAGTACAGTAATATTCTGCTAGTTTTGATTTTGTTAGTTTTTTGTGGTGTGCTTTTTGTTTTCTGTGAATTCTCATTGTTTGGGCCTAAACCCTGTATATTTTATAGACTTATTTATTATTTCAGGTATGACTATACCACTTTTCATCAGAAAGAATCACCAAGCAATTTACCAAAAATTAAAATTAAATGCAATATAGAAAACCTCAAAATCCATAAATACAATATAGAAAACATCAAACTCCTAACATAGAATTCCACTCAATCATAACAAAAGAAAGAAATCCCTATGGAAAACCGCATTTTAAAATTTCCTGCTCTCTGCCGCCATCTGGTGTTGCACATTTATAGCACATTCAAATAACTCTTTCTTTACTAATGAGGCTGAGTCCAAATTCTTGGCAGTTACGGATTTCATAAAACTCTCAGTACATCCACAAAGACATACTACAATACCAGCAATCAAATGCTATGAGGCTAAAATCACATTTAATCTGGGAATACACAAAATTTACATGGCAGTACATAACAAAAGTGACATTCCTTGTCTAAAACAGAAGTTTAAAAAGAAATGTGAAGTGGGAGAAGTAACATAATAAAAATGTGTAAATGGGACAGAAGTCTAACACTGCAATTCCATGCATATATCACTCAGAGGCAAGTTCCATCAAGTTCAATAGGGCTTACTCCCAAGTAAACACACACAGGACTGCAGCCAAAATAAATTGTTATGCTAAAAGAACTTAATTAACTGACTTCCTCCTTCCAGGACCATGGGTCAAAAGTTTGTAACTTCCCCATAGTTATAATAACTTTCCATCAAACATGATGCAACTTGAATTGGGCATTATGTAATTACAACTATTTCACAAGGAATTCTGTTTTTGAGAAAGGAAACTTCTGCTTGTAAATTGAAACCGACTGTAAATTCTTAAGGTGTGAATCATGTCATCCCATAAGCATGCAGAGATCTGGTTTCTATCAGAAGGTTGAAGAAAGGACATATTATGTTGTTG